CACATAAACGTATAAGTGTGACAAAATAACACTGCTCTATTAGCGTGATCGCCATGTAAGGATGTGGTCGTAGGAGCAATGTTGTATATATCTATTATGAAATTGACCGAACTCATCATTTTGATCATTCAATTTGAAAATCAATCAATGTCGTTTCTGAAATTTACCACAACATATCAATGTAGTCCTTGCCATTTGATTATATCAAATTTTCTGTCAATTTAATGATGTGGCAAAGGTGGAGTCCGCACAACCAATGATTAGGCACCACATGGATCATATGGAAAAAATTAATTTTTTGAAATTTAAAAAATCTTTAGAAACTAACAAAATAATTTAGAAATTAAATAAAACCACAAAAGAAAGCACAAGTCTCTCAATGCTAATTTAAAAATCTAAAACAAAGATTGAAACAGCAACGCCAACATATATCGGATTCATCTCTTTGATATAAGAAGCAATTCAGCACAGCATCCTTTAGCTATATTTGGGAAAATCAAAGCTAATAACCTAAACGTGCTAATAATCAAACTAGGCAAAGGAAGCAGCAAACAGTGCCTGGAGACTATGCCTTTTTTATTTATTTTTTTAAATTTCAAATATTGACTGTATGGACACCATGTTTGTTATATCATCAAATTAACAGAAAATTTGGCGAAATCAAACGGTGAGGACCACATTAATGTGTGGTAGTAAATTTCAAAAACGACACTGATTGATTTTCGTAAGGGACCAAAATAATGAGTTATATTTATTTCAGGTATGTAATAAAAACCCGAAAAAAATGACTAGAACCTTTAATAGTCTCAAGGTTCTAAACAACCCTAGGTGCTAGTTGGGCAACATGTTGGAGCCTAGCGCCTAAGTGGCTAGGCGGATTTAAGAAATTTATTATATATCATATAAATAAGTGTCTATTTATACTAAAAAACACATAACTGTATTGGGATACATAAATTGCAAAATAAAATGACATATAGATTATAAAGTATTAGAACATATAGAAAACATGGGAAATAAGCATATAATGAGTGTTCATCCAAATATTCAAAAAGTCTCTTATATTTTATCGAAAATATAAAATGCAAAATGAAAGTTATCAATTTTTTGTTTAAGTGATAGTTGTGACCTAGGTAGGTCTAGATGGTCTAGGCAAATGCTTAGCCGGGCTAGGCGAACGCTTAAGCAGATTTAGGCGTCATTTCTTAAGGATTAATCGAGACTGTCGCCAACCGCCTATTGCCTCCTAAAAGAGTGAACAAGCTATTTTGATATTCTGATTACATCTGATGCACCAAAAGCATTGCTCACAAAATTAAAATGACTGAAAATTAGAAGCCATGTTATTTTTGGTCAATAAGATTTCCAAGGAGTAGAGCCTTAATTATGGTTGTTGAAAGTTATCAGAGTAGACCTTGATTAAGGTCGTTGAAAGTTAACATCAGCCTAGGGTTGTTGAAAGTTAACATCAGCCTAGGACGTTCAACTAATAGTCTTGGCCACGTGTGATTCACAATACGCCATTGAAAACGTTTAAGATAAACTTGTCATTATGTAAGAAAATTAAAACATAAAATGTATATAAAACGACTTGACCTAAACGTCCATTATATGGAGTCCATTCTAACTTATATTTTTTAACAAATGATATTTACATTAAAGGAAAGAGAGTTAAGCATAGCCTCACAATGAACTAATAATAATGTGGTTGAAACTCGTTTTTAGCGAGAATTGAACCTAAGATCTCTTACTTACAAGTGACAAGAAATACTACCAGACTGTAGTACTAAGTAGCTTCTAAATATCATTTTGGTCATTCAATTTAAATTAATCAATGTTCTTCCTAAAGCTTAAGGGAAAATTTTATAGGACGGCAATAAGACCAACAATGTTTTATGGCACGAAATGTTGGGCAATGAAGCATCAACACGTACATAAAATGAGAGTAGTGGAGATGAGAATGCTTTGTTGTATGTGTGGGCACACGAGAAAGATGAGAGAAAATCGATTACGGTGGGTTGGGCATGTGAAACAAAGGCCTACAGAAACTCTAGTTAGAAGATGCAAGTACGAGATAAAGGTTCAGGGCCAAAGGGATAGAGGAAGACCTAGGAAAACTTTGGAAGAGACTCTAAGAAAAGACTTGGACTACTTGGATATAACGGAAGACATGACACAAAATCCGGTGCAATGACGTTCTAGAATTCATACAGCCAACCCCACTTAGTGGGGAAAAGCTTTGTTGTTATTGTAATGTCATTCCTAAAATTTACTAGTCATAAGCTATGGCTTGAAATTGCGGGGGCCCACCCTACAAGGTTAGGGTGAACTTAACAGTTAGCCCCTATTCGAATTACGTTAGGGGGTCTTTTGCTTGGAGGCAGATTGTCTACCTTCCTGTTTGGGTACCATTCTCATCCTCTCCTATTTGTGCTGTCACGGTTAAATCACGTTAACATTTTATATTCCTATTACTTTTTGTCTTATTATTTTTATAAACAAATCAATATAAAATGTTAACGTGACTTAACTGTAACCGTACAAAATAAAAAAAGATAAAAATAACACTTAAACATGAGGGCAAACAATTTGCCTCCCTTTTGCTTTGCTAGATCTAGAGACATACTACGTATACATCCCAAATTCCATGCGGCAGCCATTTGGTTCACTGGTACTACCAAAAGGTCTCATCCTTACTTTACTGTTATTTATCATTTTATTCTTTTGGACCACGAAGACCCCGGTCATTGTATATTAATGTGGTCCTTTCGTTTAATCTTGTTAAATTTTCCTATATTGATGATTTGACATGCATGGAGCCCACACGGTAATAATTAGACGCCACATGGAACTAAAATAATTTAGAAATTAAATAAACCTAAAAAACAAAACACAAGTGTCTCGATGCAAATGAAAAAAATCTAAAACAAAGACTGAAACAACAAACATATATCAGATTCATCTCACCGATATAAGAAGCAATTCAGAACAGCATTATATTTGGGAAAATCAAAGCTAATAGCCTAAACGTGCTAATAATAAAACCAGGCAAAGGAAGCAGCCAACAGAGTCTGCAGGCTTTTCCTAGTATTTTAAATTTCAAAAATTGATTATGTGGAATTCGGGTTTGCTACATTATTAAATTAAAATAAAATTTGACAGAATCAAACAGTAAGGATTATATAGATGTGCGGTAATAAATTTTAAGGACGATATTAATTGATTTTCACATTGAAAAACCAAACTGATGAGTTAAGTTAATTTTAAAAATCATTTGTGATAAAAACTCTAAAAAGAAAAGGAGTACAAACCTTTAATCGGCTACAGTTTGATTAATTGATTACATCTGATGCACCAAAAGCATTGCTCACAAAATTAAAATGATTGGAAATTAGAAGCCATATTCGCCTTAATTAACGTTGGTGAAAGTTAAGCCATACACAATAATAAAAGTTCACATACAGTGTTAAACTCTGATTAGCAGGTTATTAACATTCCAAATGAAGGAGCCGGGCACTTTCCTTCAAGTTATTCAGTAGCTAAAATGTACGGAATACCAATGTAGTTATGCAAGCACGAGATTTCCGGTGGCTGGAGGTACAACCGTTCTCTTTCACAGAGGCGTTGGCGTCAACATTGGCTATTGGAATTGAATGAACTACTGGACCATATGAGTTCTCTCATCATGATATCTTCGTTTCTCTAAGCTAAAGCTAAGGCTTGGCTCCTCAAGACTGAGGAGTTCCTCCTCAATTCACAGCAGTTGATTTACAAATTTTCTTGTTTATATTATAAATCTCTGTAAAGGTCATTTCTAAAAAACTCAATTAGAATTAAGATTGTTTAGTCAATCAATTGTAACAAATAGATAAATGATTCGTGATTCTTTTACCAAATTTCATATTTAATTGATTTTTTTTTGCAGAGATGATCATTACAAAGAGCGATTTTATAATATCACAAACATAAAGTTCCGTAAATTGGTTACATACAAATTGAGGAGCCAAGTTAATTTTGGGAGAGAAGAAGCTTCTATACCGTCTTTTCTAGCCAAATAGCGAGCGATCATTTAGCAACGAACCCGTATCTTCTACACGAAAAGACAATGTCTTGACCACCGGATGAAGGGGACCAAAAAGCCATTCCTCATATACCTCAGCTCTGAGAATAGAAGTCGTTCGTCTTTTTTCTATACGCAATTCAAGATTTCATTTGTGTTGATGTTGTCAATTTTTGATGTGAATTTGGCAGGTCATCCCCCTCCCCCTTCTACGATCATAAAGTCCCCGGATCCCTTTCTTTGTCCTTAGAAATTGGACACACTGTCAAACCCTTAAAACGAAAAAGTCCAGACTTTTGTTACCGGTTAGGATACTGGTGGTGGTGCACACATTGAGGTCATTTCTCATACTGGCCAACGAGAGAAGGATTCAAGATAAAGGAAAAAGAAGCTCTTATTTTCCTAATATCGACGTCCCAACGGAAAAATCAGTTACCACCCCAACTATAAAAACACAAGAACATTTTTTTGTACTTGGTGTCAAACTGTGATTAGCAGGTAAGTAGAAATTGTGCATCCAAGGGAATGAACGAAGTATCTCCCTTCAAGTTTTTCAGGACTTTCAGTGACCATACCAGGCTTCGGCTATGCAAGGCCTCATACGGTTCCGCCATTCAACCAATTCCAATGCTGACACTGATGTCTGCACCTGTGTGAAAGAGAATGGCATCTGCGGGCACCAGGAACCTCGTCCTTGCATAACTGCATCTCTCTTTCATACCTTTGAGCTACTGAATAACAGGTCAGCATCACAACATACTAAAGCTGGAGGTCATCCCACATTACCGGAGGGAGCTTTTCTATTTAACCAATGAAAAATGTATATAAAATGATACAGAACCTAGCAATTAGCAGTAAGGCTACCATCTCTTATTTCATCTACTAGACTGTCTAAAAAGCCTAGCAAATCCGGCCATTTTAATTAGCATAGTAGGAGATATGATATAAGTTATACTGTTATAACTAAGAATGTTAATGATATAAGTTATACTGTTATAACTAAGAATGTTATAATTTCTCTCGATCCTTGTCTTCAATCTCTTTTACACTCTTAACTATATTTTGAACACTTTTAGTAAGGCGGTCTCCGTGTTGGTCTACCTCTTTCAGAACCATTTCAAGTGTTTTTCTGCACTCTGCTAACTGTTGGTTCGCCCGATAAAGCTCTGCAGATAGCTCACGAATTTTCTTGTCTTTCTCATCCTGCAAGCACATGATATCTGTTATTATATAAATGTATCATATTGGAGAACACAGAAGTTCGAAATCAATCAAAGGTCTACTTGTTACACTACAATTTCAGAAGCTCCCCGTGAAATATGATTCATAAATTCATTCATGTATTAAAAAACTCACTTTTTTTGTTAAAGCAACTACCTGTGATGGAGCCGGAATGGTGACTTTCTTGCCTCTAGAAATCCACATAGGATGACAATGTCTTATTTCAAGCTTTGTAACAACCCACTTCCCGGACTTCTCTTTCCTCGCCATAATCATTGCCTTGCAGCCCTCCCTAGTTTCCTCCCTCGACCTCCTTACTTCACCCCTTTTTGACTTCTTATTGTCACGAAAACCTTCTTTGTTACAAAGAAACTTACGACTGTTAATGGATCCATCACGATTTGAACGATGGAAGTTACCAACACGGATTCTAAAACCCACACGCGTGGCATATGCATCATAGTATTCCTTGACAGCCTCTTCGGTGTCAAACTCCATTCCAACATAAGGTTCCAGGATACCATTTACTTCATTTTCAATCAACTCTGTCCCATTGTTTGAATCTAGCATTTCTCCAGTTTCAGTGTTCGGAACATCCCTTTCAACTGAATTCTCCACAACCGGCTTGTTCAAATCCGCTTCAGACTCCATTGGAGTAGGATCTGCAGTCATTCTGTAATTCTCAAATGCATAAGCTGTGAAGTTCACAATATCACACGTGTATAAACTATATTTACAGAACCAATGCAAGTTAATGGATGTGATGCACGTTTGCAATGCAAAATCAAAGCAACAAACCACAGGGAAATTGAAATGGAAAATTCCACAAGCGAAAAAGAGAAATGAACACAAAAAATTAAATTCATCATCTGCACAAGTATCCATTGATAGGGAATAAGTGTTCCTCACGCATTGCATCCTCCCAAAAACTTATACACGCGAGTGTCGGTTTTTGCTAGTCATATGATAGGCAATAACTCCACTCATTCGGACATATGAAACTGAAAACGAATGTGTTGGGGTCATTCGTATGCAGATAAGTTATACACAAACCCACCCAGTTTCTTTTCGAAAGTGCGATTTTCATGAATTTCAATTTGCACCAATCATAATTCTAAATCACAATGCAGATGATTCAGGCTTCTGCCAAGATTAAAACTTTAACATCCGATGAATCGAAAGCCAACAAATTTAGGTGGAAGAAAAAGGGTCCAAAAGACTAACCCCCCAAAATTAACAGCATCATATACAAGCAATCCAAACCCAGAAAATCAGATATTAAAAATTGCAGAAATTTTACTAATTTTCCCAATAAATATTCGAGTAGAGGCTAACACTGCAACACAAGCTTTAATTTAATCCAATTTTCTGCATATCCCCAGCCCACAAATAATCCAAAACGAAAGGCCTTTAATCTCAATTGTCATTTTTAATCGAACAAATTAGTATTTTTAGTTAAATAAGCTCAATTATCAAAACCCAGATGAAAACTTACATGCTTCCATTCACGCTCGTCTCTAACCTTTGCCTCTGAAGAAATTTGAGACACTTCGGTTTCTCTTGATCTACAAACATATTTTGACGGCTCTGATTTAACGGTGTGGGACCCACCTCCTGCTCATCAGTTAGGACCTCAGTTTGAATACTGCGGCCCAACTTTGGCCGGGCCCAAAATAAAGTGTGAAATTTTGAATGAACCCATCAACGTTCCAGCGCTCTGCTAGGGTTTTAGGCTCTCCGCCATAGTCGCAAAAACCCCAGCTCCGGTTTGATTTGGGGCGCGCTCAATGGAGGGGCTGAGCGTTTCGGATACCAATTTGGTGGTGTATTTGCATCCGTCGACGAGCGATAATGTCCACGAAGCAATCCTGCGCGAGCTCAGCTCGATGCTTTTGAGGTACCTTCTCAGCAACCCTTTCTTTAATTTTTCAAAATTTTGATTTTTTTTTAAGGATTTGGAAGCTTGATACTGTTTGTATGATTGGTTTCGATGTTGCTCGCGTAAGGATTATTCGTAGTGGTTCTTCCTTTTTTTGTGTTGGCTGAGTCAGTTGTGTTGAATTTAGAAAAAAAAAGCATGAGCTTTTTGGAGATTCTGTTTGTGAAATACCGGGTTACTCGTTCGGTGTTTCGAAGAGAAGCAGATGTTTGCCACCCATTTTGTTGTAATTTCTGAATGTTCCCACAATGTTTGCCGTTGTTTGGACTCTGCCTTGCAACAAACAAGTAATTTGCTAAAGAAAGAGTACGATTGAGAGCTAATTCATTGGAGTCAGTTGAGTTAAAGTTCCCAATAAAAACATGACCTTTTTGGAGACTATGTTTAAAAGTACCAATTATTTATTCGGAATTTCGAACAGAAACAGACTTTGTTCCCCCATTGTGTGTATTTTCTGAAATGTTCCAACAATACCTTGCAACAAACAAATAATTTGCTTAAGAAAGAGTACAAATGAAAGCTGATTTATCAGAGATTCAGAGTTAAGAATGATATCTTCATACATTGTTTTCGGATTTGTTTTTTTACTGTAACCCTCCAAATTCAACAGTTGGCTTGGTCTGTATTGGTCAAGTGTTGAGGGTGTTTGTGGCTCTCGTTGGAATAATATTCTGTTTCACGTGTTTGTGATGTCTTAGCAACTTGGGAATTTAATTTTCTGTCTCTGGTTTCCCATGCAGGTACAATGATATATTTGAGGGTATTGTATTGGCTTATGAATTCAACATCTTAGATAAGGAAGCAAAGATTCTTCCCGGTGTTCATCCTTATTTTACTGTCAGGCTAAAGGCAAAGTTATTACTTTATTCTCCAAAGCCCGATATGCTTGTAGGTAGTATTCTTGTTCTGCGTTAACTAATAAAGTAACAGACATACAAATTTTATCCATTTCAAGGATATTATGCTCAAAATTTGATTTATTTTGTTATGAATTAAAAAATCATTCTGTATCAAATGATACACATGCATTTGTATCCACTAATGTTGATCCTGCTGTTTGATTTGTGATGTTCTGCCTCTGCAGAAGGAAAGGTTGTGAAAGTCAAACAAGAATCAATTCATGTCATTATTCTTGGCTTCTCATCTGCCGTCATAACAGACAATGATATTCGCGAAGAATTTCGATATAAATCTGTAAGAGTCTTCTTCATCGTTGTGTTTCAATGTTGTTATCCTTAATCTTTCCAATAGTAATTCATCTTCCTTCTGGTGTACCAATCTTCTCTTAGAAACATGGCAAGCAATTATTTGTTAGCAGATCCCACAAGCGGCATGTAATTAAAGTTGGGACCACGATACGACTATTAGTCAAAAGGTGACCTTTGATTATAATTACCTTTTTATGATTTGAAAGAAAACTGATATTTGGTAGGAGCAATGACTGCAGTTTTGAACCGCATGAGTAATCAACATCACGTGGCACTGGCAGGTGTTCAATCAGTTATGAACTGGTCATAATGGTTGATGTCATAAGTTAACCCCACCCGACACAGAATGTGGTCTGAAAATATGGTCATTCTAGCATTGCTCTTAGTGGTATACTCTTTTCTTTATTTTACTGTGGAATGCTGTTTTCGTTCTTTTAGGCATCCTCCTTCCCAAACCCACCCTCCCTCCTCCCTTACCTTGTCAATTAATGTGGATTTCGGTTTTAAGGCCAAGTTGTAACACAATCTAAACTGTACTCCAAAAAGTCACAACTCACAATCATTTTCGAGATTTGTGAATTAGATGCTTGAGTCATGAAATAGTGATGATGGAGAGGTAGGATGCATGCTTAGGTGTTCATATTGTGGGGATTCTGCATATCTTGTAAACTAAAAAAAATCTAGTTGACTATACTTTTGTGCAGTATATACGTGGTTCGGTACTCATTTTGTTACATTGTAGCTTCGCAACTAAGTGATACATTTGATTTTTATTGTACTTCGTTTTTCAAAAAGTGTTTTTTACTTGTGTGCTTCCATAACATTGCATTTGCATTACGCTTGCAGTGTGGATGAGGAAACACTGTACATTTATGGTTCCTTGCTTCCGGCTCACACAGGAAACATTCTCTGGTTGGATAAACAAATGGAAGATACTTCACTAACGGATGGGTATTTCTCTGACCTTGGATTTAACTTGAAAGAGTTTGTATTTAAAAGTATAAAATCCATTTTGGAAAAGAAAAAAAGGTAGATTCTGCATTGTAATTGTTGAAAAAATTTGCAGGAGTGCTAAGAGGAGGAAGGGAAACGATGGAGAATCAGTTCTGCAAGAGCCTAGTAGAACCAGTGCCGAAGCAGTTTCAGTCAATAATGACCATCATGTCAAGAAGTCAAAGAAATACAAAACACGTGAAGAGTCGTGTTTTCAGGTGATATTTTGATTACCAGTGGAATCAGTGTTATGTTTCTGAACTAGACAAAGGCATGTGAGCTAAGTAGTTGATCCAGATAGAGGAGGCAGGGTCGCGTGCAAGTAAATTACTCCAATTATTGGATGACAAAAAACACTGGTACAAAATTATTGGATGACAAAAAACATCTTGGTATTTAGGTTTTACAACTTTGAAAGTGTGTTGTATAATGTTTTTGTAGATCATGATGAATCATCAATCTCTGAGGTTATGTATTTTCAAGCAATACATGAAATCGGTTCCTGAGTTCGTTATTTGTTTGGCGTGTCCTATATATGAGACTATTTTCAAGCACGAGAAATAGCTCGTCGAGCTGTTCGAGCTCTTGATCCATTTATTTTTGTTCTCTAACTCAAGCTTGGCATGGACGAAATTGAGGCTCTTTGCTCTTTTTATGAACTGTACCTCAACTTTGACTGGTGGATGCTTGTTTCTTGCATGGGTGACTGCCACTGCCAGTAACATTTGTTGAAGAGAAACATCAAAAACCCTTATCAAATCCAAAGCCTAAACTAAAGCGAAAGGTGCGAGTAAGTCGTCTTTTACCACTGTGGTGGAAATGAGATGAGCTCTTGCATAGCGACGTGTGTTCGAACCCCGTTGGTAATCTAACATTGAATCTGACAAAAAATTTATCGTTTTGACAAAAAAAAAAAAAAAAAAAATGGAAATAAGTGCATTAATGTTATGCCATGGCATAGAAGAACATTAGATTTACATGGCCACCGTTTTTGAGATGGAATGAAATTTTATTAATAACGATCGAGAACTTATATAAAATAGGCATGTTAAACGTGATCCCAATAGCAAACCTTACTTAGGAAAAAAATCAATCGGAAATCCAAAAACACCACAAGTCTACAATTAAAAATTCAAATAATTAAAATACAATTCTTGAGCCACAAATGATTTTAATTTAACCAATATGAAAGATATTCATGAGGATTGAACCTTGCAATAACCACCGTGAAGGCATCATGAGGAAAGTACCGTACCACCCTCTTATGATCTTGAAATTATCAGCAAAGAAGCCCAGTTATGACTCATCTTCAATAAAGGTTTAGCTTTCTACTAATAGTCTCTTTTCAAGTGTACAAGCCACAAAAAAGCGCGCACACAACACTTGTCGACTGAGTGAGAGACCGGCTACGACCATGAAGGCTCTTTTCATTAGAAAGAAAGAGCAACCACAACTGCTAAATGAAAATGCTTATAAAATAATATAAGAAAAGAGGGGAATAGAGGAAAGGGATCAAGAAGGATAGTCTCCGAGCCGAGAATCGACAATGGAGGATTTTCTCTTTAGCGGCTAGGGAATTAATTGGCCACCTGATAAACCAATGATTCTAGGTCCTCTTTCGTAAGACTCTGCAAGGTGCAAAACCAATCAATCATAAGGACTTGACTGCAGAATTAAGATTATTTATCGACTTAATTCATTGTTACCTTCTTTGTCTCAGCCAACGACTTGAAATGTTCAAACACCTCGTGAAATTTCTTTTCGTCCAGATCATGGCCAAGCTAAATAATAATACCAAAAAAAAAAAAAAAATGTAATTACTGTAGAGAACTTATTTTCATCATATAATATCTCAAAGTTCAAACAAAAAAATTCAGAAATAATTTTCGATTAATACCTGCAAGAGGCGAGACTTCAAAGCATGACGGCCACTGTAGAAAAATATAATGTGAGATGTTTAAACACTAATTCATACTTATGAGGTTGACGCAAGTATTATCCTTTATTACGAACCTGTGTTTTCCTAGGACAATGCCAGTGTCATGAGAATGGACGTAGCCAATATCTTCAGCCAAAATAATTTCATAGGTGCTCTTGTTTTTAAGAACTCCATCCTAAAACACACACACAGAGAGGAGATTTCTCTCTTTATATATATGTGTATGTGTATTTTATGAAATCATTTATTTATATATTTCAACTGCAAAATAAAAGTTAATATGGAAATATAACCTGGTGAATTCCACTGGCATGAGAGAAAATATTAGCTCCAACTATAGCCTTATGTGGTTGTACGGATAATCCGCTGTACTCTTCCACCTTATTAATTAGTGCATGCAAAGAGTTTTAACATTTCAGGTAAATCAGACCAACCAAACTAACCAGGTAAATATAAGGAAACAAACGAAGAAGAAGAATTACCATCTTGCTGGTGGCTACAATATGCTTTGTATTTATTCCTGTGTGAAGTCCCCCAAGCATGTCCTTACCACGAGTTTTGACGGCCATCACAAACTTTACGTATAGGAACAAACATGAAGTTGTAGTTAGACTGTTGATTTAGATCATTGATCAGATAATTGCTATTTTATTCCATCCTTTTTTTTGTCAAAGTAAGATCTTTTCTTATAAGATAACATAATATGAGCAATAATTGTATATTGATGACAAAAATAGAGATTTACCTCCTCTAATGAAGCATTTCCAGCCCTCTCACCAATGCCATTGATCGTAACTTCAACTTGTCTGGCACCAGCATATGCTCCCTATAGTATGTAAACAATATTAAAATTCAAGAGGTACTTAGAGAGACTAATCAATTTTGAATTCAGTACAAGAGTGACGCATGCACATACAGCTATTGTATTGGCATTGGCGAGACCAAAATCGTTATGGCAATGCATGGATAGGATTACATTTTCGATCCCTATTACATTGGCTTTCAAGTCCTTAACAAATTGCTCCACTTCGCTGGGGAAATTGTAGCCAACAGTGTCTGTGAATGTTAAAGTTGTTGCTCCGGCCTTGATAGCTTCCCCATATATTCGATATAGAAACTCCTTCTCAGACCTAATTCAGATTAATTAAAAGCATAAAATCAATTAGTTTTTAAGCCCGATCCTTCTTGTATACGAGGGACAGTTTACATTAAATTAGTCTAAATTATGTTAGGGGATTCAAAAGTTCGAACAAGAAGCATACTGATATAGTTGACTTTCAAAACTCAGGCCTACTTGGCCTAACTGTTAGTTTGGTGGATGGTGGACTGTTATTCTTTTTATTTTTGTTTTAAATACTTGTAAAGTCAAACATAATTACATTCCGTTTGGATAAAGAAATGACATGATTTTATTTTCTAGAATTTGTGAATTTTCTTGTTTGGTGAAATGACGGGATTTTATTTTTTAGAATTTGTGAATGTTAAAATGACAGAAAATGAACAATAGAATTGAATGTGAAATTTGTTATTTTTAAACTCTCAATCATAGAAATTGAAAAATGACACATATTTACATGAAATTTAAACTTAGGAATTGAAGGTCTCAAATTCCAAGTTTTTTTTTCCATGCGGAAATTCTAAATTTCTATGTTTATGAATCTAAACAAGGGAATTGGTGTATGTCAATTTATAAATTCTGACTTTTATTCAAATTTCAAGTTTATTTCCCTTATCCAAATAGTGTTAATGAATTTGCTCTTGTGGAATTTAGTCGATGGATTTTATTTGACTAAAAAATTTATATCGAGTTCTAAGTGAAATAAGTTAAATTTCAAAGCTAAAATATTATTTTTAGTATAATGTAATGTGTAGGTATCTCTTCACATATCTTTACTTTATTAAATTAGAACCTCATGTGATGGTAAATCGGTTTCATATAAATTGTTTTTGGAAAGAACGAGATAGAGAGTTAACCACCTTCCAGCGTCTTCACAGACAAACGTAATGTCCTGAGCTCCAAGGCTTCTGGCATACCTCACCGACTCCTTCGCGAGTTCGAGAACTTGATCGGCAGTCTTGTTCAGCTTATACTTCATGTGGATTTTGCTGGTCGATATGAATATGCATAGGCGCGGGCGCGTCGCGTCCTTCACCGACTCCCATGCAGCGTCGACGTCGCTACGAACGCACCTACAGTATGCAGATATGACAGGCACGTAGCCGCACTCGTCAACACGGCTTCCAACCTCTTTTGCTATCAACTTCACTGTCTCCAAATCATATTTGGACGAAGCCGGGAACCCCGCCTCGATCACATCCACTCTTAGCTTCGCCAGCTGGTGTGCAATGGCCAGCTTTTCTAGCCGAGTCATGGACGCCCCCGGAGCTTGTTCTCCGTCCCGTAGGGTCGTGTCCACGACTCGTACATAGGTTTCGTTTGGGATTCGGTTGGGAATGTATTCGGGGTGAGTGGGGGATTGGGAGAGAGCGGAGCAGCGCGTGTTTGTCCTCAAGATGGCGCGTTGTTGTGAGAGAGGGAAGAGTGATGAGGGTTTGGGCAAGAGGGTGGTGGTTATGTTAGAGTTTGTGGGTTTTGAATGTCTGATTATGGAAGCTGGGGATGTGGATGAGATGAAAAGAAGATTTGCTGCTGAGAAGGCCATGGTGTGTACAAAAACCAAAGCCTTCTCTCCTTTGTGTGTAGTGTGTATCTCGCAATGGCATAGTCTTGCACTTTGCCCATTTTAAAGGAATGTAATCTTACTTGGCAAAATAGTTAGTGCATTAACAAATAATAAGAGAAATTTTTCATTAACCGGAATACGAATGGTAGATCACATGTTTTTATATAAGTGGCTGGAAACTTTATTTTTTAAGTTAGTAACTTTTTAGCACACATATCCCACCATTTATATAGTAACACATGATGTACTATACCGTGTTCCAGTCATACTAAAAAATCTCTCATTTCACTGAAGGGTTATGTATTCCAGTTGTGAGTTGTCCATGGTGATGTTGCCTCGGTTGTCGACATGTTCTATTTTTGGAAGTGGATTGTCTGCCCTCTCATTTCCATACTCTCCCGAGGCCCTCCTGTTTGTGTAGTCACAGTTAAGCCACGTCAACATTTTATATTCCTATTATTTTTTGTTTTATTATTTCTATAAAAAATTAATATAAAATGTTGACGTGACTTAATCGTGACCACACATCATATGAGGGCATGAAAAAAGTATGAAAATGGGAGGGCATACAATCCACCTTCTTTATTTTTTGGGTTTAGTTTTTGTTTAATTGATTTTGTTAAAAACTAAATCACATGGATTCTTTAGTGGGGGACGTGGCATCCTCCGATTGGATGGGTACACAATCGTCCATGGTGATGTGAGGTTGCCGTCACCTCAAAAAATTTCTCTAATGCATAGACTAGATTTACCAAAAAATAATAATACGCATACTAGATTTAGAAATGGAATTGTTATTGGTACTTTAAAAATCACATTCTAATTCTAAACTTTCTATATTTAGAAAGAAAAATACACTTATAAGGAGTGTAGAATGAGATTTTTAAAGTGCAAATAACGCTTCCTTTAAAAAAAATAAAAAAAATAAAATAATGCATGGACTCTCCAATTAATGACTTTATGATGTCAAAAGATATCTTATAATAAATGAGGTGGAGATTTAGGTTGTCGCAAAATAGGCCAGCATAATAAATTTGTACCATGTTATCTGTTAGAATTGAATTAAAATCTATTATTTACATGTCAAAAGAAATATTACTATTTTATATTATTATTAGTGTCAGTATCTAATCTATATTAAGTTGTTTATAATTTAAAGGATAATACTTGCATCTCCTATGTGGGGATGCACATATCCTTATTTGGATTATTGTATTTTGACCGAATAAAATCAATGATTGGAATCGTTCAATTTATTTATTTATTTTTTATTTATTTTTTAATATCACTCCTACAAAAAAATCATTCAAATTTGAGATTGTTTAATGGGAGGCTTTGATACAGATGCCTAGGTTTTAAAATTTTAAGATTAAACATTTATGCCTTTTATAGTTTTGATTAAACATTTTTCCTACAATTTAGGTGCCACATGGATTAGAAGTAGCATTTTTTATAATTTAAATTACCCAACTTGCCATTATATAAATATAACTTTTAATTCCTAGATAATACATCAAAACTCCTAAAATCTTGAGATAAATATTGTAGAATTTAATTCCAATAAAAATCTTTCAAAATACCCATGAATGCGACTTGCCATTATATTTAATATACCTTTTAATTTGGGAAGTGTTATTGGCACTCCAAAAATCTCATTCTACACTCCTCACAAGTGTATTTTTCTTTCCAAATATAGAAAGTTTGGAGTGTAGAATGAGATTTTTGGAGTGCCAATAACAATTCCCTTTAATTTTCTTAGATAATATCTCAAAACTCCTAAAATCTTGTAGATAAATATTGTAGTAGTCAATTTTAATAAAAAGTCTTTCAAATTACACATGAAACGTAGATTTCTTCTTGGTACATATTTGATATGTTTGTTTTCTTTTTTTGTATGTATTTGGTACGCTTATATTTATTTTTAAAAAAAAACATATTGGGTACATGTATTTCCTCTTGATTAAACATATGTTTCTCCTTGGTACATATTTGGTACGTTACTTTATATATCTTCTTGGTACGTATTTGGTACATTGATATTTCTTTTTTGAATGTATTTGGTACATTTATATATTATTTTGGTACGTTTGTATTTATTTAAAAAAACATATTTGGTACGTTACTTTATATATCTTCTTGGTATATATTTGGTACGTTTAAATATATTATCTTAACGTATCAGCCTCAAGCCTCCGAAAATAGAGAATACATCTAATTATCTCACATGAAATCAATATAAAATAATGAAAACAACAACTAATTGAAATGGATAAGTCCATTCAAAATTCAAAAATGAGGATCACATAATTCTAACGTGGGAGAAGAAACCATACGGCTCAAACATGGGAGAAGAAACTGGCTTCCTAAAAAAAAGGCCACGTACAAAATTATATCAACCTAAAAGGATATATATGGAATTTAATAATTAACATTTTAAATTAAAAAAACACAATAATTACATGTAATCTAAATAAATATAAAAATGCTGACATGACTATTGTTTAGGCGTCCTAATCAAATTTCAAAATAGAACCAATGTTTAATTTAAAGAGTATTAGAAAAGTGCAGGGGATTCTAATTTTCCCTTGTTTAATCATCCAAATATATCAAATAAATGGATAGTTCATCATGAATATGTTATTTGGTACCTACATTGTCAATTTGTTTGTTCTACACGATTAAATGACTAAATGATCTCCTTTGACGATGATTTTTTTTTTTTTTTTTGTAAGGGTAATCTACAAATGAAAAATAAGAAATTAAACGATTTCGATTATAAAATTTGTACTGTCAATTTATGTTATTCACAGGGAGTAATGAACTCATCCCTGAGGAGGAAAGCTGGCCGCATAATTGGGGTGAATATCCCTTAAGAGTTGGAATTGTAATGCCCCTTTTTTTTTTTTTTTTTTTTCCAAGCATGCTAAGAAAATCGTATTTTTGTACCGTATTGATGTATCGCATTTTTGTTCATAATCGGATTGTTTAATTTCTTATTCTTCATTTGAAGATCATCTAATTTAAAATTTTCTATACTAAAAATTGCTTTATGGGTAATGCTAAGGAGATTAATTTGTAGGTAAAATTTACAAACTAAATTATGTGTCACTATAGAAATGAACACGTCTATCAATGTTTAAATAATGAATCAATTATCAACTTTATCTTTTAATTTTCAAAATTTAATCAGCCCATAACCGGATCTGTATCTGCCTAATTATTGATACTTGCTGTCCCATCATGTACTCCTAACTACAATCCTAGCGACATCTTTAATGACATCACATATTGAAATTATTAGCTTGTCCATTCTGCAACGACCCCAGTACCACCACTTTATTTCCCCATCTTTACTGGGAATTGGGTTGCAGAATTCTAAAATTTGTCGGTGTAGCTTTTAATAGAAAGTATTTACTGCTCACCGTTCGGTGGGGTTCTTCTTTATCTAGCTGACCGCAATTGGAGATAGCTACAGTAATTGGAGATAGCCAGCGAGCCACCGAGAAGAAGCTGAACGCAAAAGAGAAGAAGTTGAGCACGAGCGAGAAGTCGTCCGCTATTACATTGCTGGGATACCCCAAGGAATGGTAGCTTCTGTCATTCGCATTCCTTAACCTCCAAGTGGCCTTCAAGCTCCATTCCACCAGCCACTTCACCAGCCATCCCAGTAGTTGTACCCAATTATTTTATTTTTTAACTTAAAATTGTATGAATATTTTATTGTAATAATTAAATAATTTTTTTAAGTTGTGATCTATTTTAAATTTTTAGATTAATATAATTAGCATTAAATATATTTATTAGTAATAAAATGTGCTAAATATATGTAATAATGCATGCAAAATAATTTACTTACAAAATAAAAGAATGTAATTTGATTAAAAAACTAATATATCTACTACTGTTTGTTTATGAATTTTAATTTACCTATTGTTTTTTTTTTTGTGCAAATATAATATACCTACAATATAAATGTTAGTTGATTCATAATAAATGTTTATTTATGAATTTTAATTTACCTATTGTTTTTTTTTTGTACAAACATAACAAATTGTGTGACAGCCTGTCCCGAAACATTTATCACAAGTGTGAAAAGATGAAATTGCCCTTGGACGTTTTGTGTGGTTGTGTGGTTTTGTTTGTTGTGATTGGATGCCCAAATTTGGACCACACACTCACACCTTTTCTTTCACTCCTGTTGACTCTCTCTCTCCTCCCTCTCGAATTTTTCTGCATTTCCGTACAAATTGTACGGACATCATCCAAATCAGCCATTTTTCTTCATGGATCGAGGTTTTTTAATGTCATATTCGTATTCCTTGTAACCATACGATCTCATCTATACCATTTTTAGGACGTGAAGCCGTCGGAAAACCCTAGAACCATAACCTCCGATTTGAGGTATTGTTCATGCACACGTAAATGTGAAGTTTTTGGAAGATTCTAAGCTTATAGGAAGCTTTAGAACACTCTCACGAAGCTTGGAGAAGAAAAACGAGGTGTTTTGGACGTCAGGAAGTCAAGTTGGCGAATTTGAAATTTTAGCCGGATTATCGAGGGTTCTCTGGTGAGATCCCGTGGATTTTAGGGCTTGAAATTGGTAAGAATGTGTTCTTCTCATCCTAAGCTTCATTTTGGCGAAAATTTCATGAATTTTGGTTGAAAATCGAGTGAGATATGAAGCTTTGAATATTTTTCCAGTTTCCGGGGACGGCAGTTAGTGGTTCACCGGAGAAGAAAAGAGAATATTCTATCAAAGTTGACAAAATATTCCTAAAGGTAGCTAACGGCGTCAGGTTATTTTTAACGGAATATTATTTACGACGTTAACTTTTCCGTTAGGCATGCCAGGCACGTGGCCGCAGGTGGGGGTGCGTCTGGCCGTGCCTTGGCCGACACGTGGGTGATCGGAAATTTTTTCTAAAAATATGGGGATGTTCCTGAGGTTGTGTATATTCAAACACCCTATTTGAGCATTGTATGAGAAATTATTACCTAGTTTTGTTTATGTGCATTAAATTGACGTTTATATAGTTGTTTCTCATATAGGTGAGACCTATCCTAAGGACGAGCGTAATCAATCGAGGCTCGGGGGCTATGACCCTTCGACATATCAATGAGTGGGCTTTTGGTTTTCAGTATATATTTATATACTTTATTTTTCCCAGAAAATCATTTTTAAATGAAGGTGTGTTTTGAAGTACCATGCCAAGTATTCATATAGTTTATACATGCATTAATAGTTGCATATATTTATGGTTAACGCTGTGGACGCTCAGGTAAGTACCAGGTGAGTTATCAAATGTTTATGTAAATTGAGGATTACGTGAGATGTTTAGAGAGCTCATTAACCTGCACCCCGGTGTTAGTGCTCCGCCAGAGTTGAGGGCCTAGCCTTCACGTGATCGTTCACCTCTCGCACCACACACGCTCACCTTGGATCTAAGGCAGGTGCCAGCCTGACATACCACTTTAGGTGGTTCTGACTTGTAGGTGACTTACGATACTTCGCACAGCCTTCACGTGATCGTAGCACTAGAGCGTATTTATTTACACCCAGCTTGTTGTACATATCACTTTAAGTGGTTCCGACTCGTGTGCAGGCATATTGTTGATGAGATATATATATTGTTGAGTTATGGATTAAGCTGTACAGGTCACATGAGGTGACTCCGGCTAGATGGATGAGCTCTAGATTCCACCGTACAAGTCACGTTAGATGACTCCGGCTGATTTAGCATTTTTATTGTGATTTAGCACCTGGATTACATGTTTTATACTGAGACATTTGGCATGGCATAATATTGATGCATTCTGCTTTCAAGCCTTATTTGATATATGTTTATATATTCTATTTCTGGGAAAATTATACAAGTTTTATGGCGAGGAGTTAGAACTTTTGAGAAATGAAATGATTTGGAAAAGCTTTGTTTTTGCCCACTCACACTTTCTGTTTTGCGCCCCTCCAAGTTCTAAGTAGGAATTCTCGTTGCTGGCTTGCGAGGACTTCAAGGCAGTTCTGACAGACTACCAATGTAGGATTATCTTTGAGTGTTATTTAATTAGTACTTATTTGGCTGGATTGAAATTAGGCTACTTATACTCTGGTTGTGTATTCCACACTTAATTTCGCGCTAGTACTTTGGTAGTTGGTTTTTTTTTTCTTCTCATATTTCTCTATATCTTTATCGCTTCCGCACTGTACACATGGTTACATCATTGTCACGTGACGGCCAGCATGCCTTGATTTCGGTCAGGGTGTGTCAAATTGTATGTTAATGCTTCTGGCCAAAAGACAAATAAATAAACATTATGTACCTACAATATAAATGTTTTTTAATTTACCTACAAAATAATGTGGTTTGATTCAAAATAAATTTACTTATATTTTACTGTTGACCCTAAAAACTACCAAGCCTACGTGACGCGCATGTCAAGTAATTAATAAGCTAATTACATCCTTCGATTGTGTGCGCGGCGTGCCAACTCGTCAGCCTAGCTCAGCTAAAGAGTAAAATGTGTTAATGTTGAGTTGAACACGCTGCTGACTTCTTGATCTTGGGACTGCTGTCGAGGAAGGAACACGTCTCGGCCTTCGGATTCTAGAGCCTGAAGACAAGGCTACTAGTTTTGCAAAGTTCATGGATCGTCGGCACCGGGTTCGGTCACGGTGATTATATTCATAAGAGTATAAGCACGCTGAACTAGTACCAAACTATATGGACACAAGTACTCAAAAGAGATGTACGTCTTGATGGTAAATAGGGTTTGGCCGTCAGAATGTTGAACTCTAAAACTTACTTGTGAATACCCAATCATAAAACAACTCGGCGTTCAATGTGCCGAGCCCAGTACCTGTAACACCTCACTTCGCTGAGAAAACTAATGAGATGACCTCTACTAACAAGGACTCGAAAATCCTTGTCGACCAAAACTTGGTTACTAAGAAGCAGTGCTGTTTATCCAAACTGAAGGTGCTCCTTGATCAGCTGATTCTAGGGTTCCAGTGTTGTTTATCCAAACTGAAGATATCGCCGATTGCCTTCACAGTGCTATTTATCCAAACTCAAGATGTGTCGGTGGGAAAAAGGAAAATAAAAATCTCAAGGTTGTTGAAAGGTTTAGCGTAGAGCGAGAGTTTGTGTATGGCAGTTTGTGTGTTGAATTGGAAAACTTTGAATGATGCACTCCCCTCTATATATATAGCAGTAAACCTACTCCTGGCCGAACCAGATAATATATATGGACTAAAACTCCCAAATCTATTATGATTAGGATTCGGTCAATCCTAGTTCCAATAGATTTTTGAACCAAACTCTATAATGAATCAGATTCATTCCCGATTTCTCAGCGTCTTCAACTCTGAAACCCTTTGTTGTACCAGGGCTCAACTTCTTCGCTCTTATCCAAATCAATCCTTCTTGCAATAGGACTTGGCCGACCTGATTGGGCGGCTTATGATAGCTGGACAGCCCATAGTATTTTTGGAAGAGCATTCGACTGAACACAAACCTAAGCTCGGCCTAATAATATTATTTTGGGCCCAAACATTTACATATAAGTATAGATAAATTATTTTTAACACGCATATATAATAACAAATAAAAAATGGCTAATGTATGTAATAATCTATGTAAAATAATTTATCTACAAAATAAAAGAATAATAATTGATTTTTTATCAAACAATATTATTTTATGCAAAATAACTTATTGTATATTATTTTTTAAGGTAATTTAGCCAAAAGTCAATAAAAACTTTATTATTAAGCCATATATCAATGACATATTTTTGTTTTGGACTTGATCAATGATATATTTTGATTAATTAGACATAGGTCAATGATGAATGCCACATAGGCTTTAAGTCATTATAAGTAGTTAGAATTTGACTCTTCTATCATTCTCTCTTTTTCTCTCTCTATGAATGTCATATGGGCTTAAGCCATTATAAATATGGACTTACGGATCAATTTTGTGGAGATCCTCCGGACCGATAGGTCTCAACCATTAATACAAATCCAACGGCCAAAATCTTTTATCCTTACTATTTTTCTGTCAACTTTTCTCTTTCTCCCTCACTTCAAAGCTCTCAACCTCAAACCACCAACTCCCCAAATTCCAAATTAAATCCAACCCTACCTTAAAATCAGCCCTAACACCGCCACAACCCACCCAACCACAACCATAATTGTAGGTCTCTCACCTCACCCTCTCCAAAATCAACCCTAGCACCGCCACATCCCACAATTACAAGTCCCTCGACCTTAAAATCTCAGCCGATGTTAACGAAACAATAAAGAGGGGGGTCGTGCAAACCAATGTTTTTTGGCTGTAGAGATCTTTTCATAACTATGGAAGAATGATAGAGAAAGAAATCTCAAAGATGAAGAAAAAGAAATAGATGACAAATAAAAAGCTAAAACAGTAAGGGATAGTGAAAAAATATGTAACATCCCACGTCGACCAACAGAGAGGGGGTAATGTGCCTTATATGTACATGCCCACCTTCATATAGCACAAGGCTTTTTGGGAGCTCACTGGCTTCGGATTCCATCAAAACTTCGAAGTTAAGCAAGTTTGGGAAAGAGCAATCCCAGGATGGGTGACCCACTGGGAAGTTCCCATGTGAGTTCCTAGAAATAAAACTGTGAAGGCGTGGTCAGGGCCCAAAACGGGCAATATCGTGCTACATCGGAGCCGGTCTGCGATGTGATAGAATGGTATCAGAGCCACTCTAACGTGTGCTACAAGTAAAACGACGAGGACGTCAGGCCCTTAAGGGGGTGGATTGTAATATCCCACATCAATCAACGGAGAGGGGGTGATGTGCCTTATATATACATGCCCACATTCATATAGCACGAGGCCTTTTAGGAGCTCACTGGCTTCGGATTCCATTAGAACTCCAAAGTTAACAAAGTTCGAGCAAGAGTAATCCCAGGATGGGTGACCCACTAGGAAATTCTCGTGTAAGTTCCCAAAATCACATACCAAATCGGCTCCGCCGTAGCACGATATTGTCTGTTTTAGGCCACACCCTCACATATTTGTTCTTAGGAACTCACATAAGAACTTCCCAGTGGGTCACCCATCTTGGGATTGCTCTTGCCCGAACTCGCTTAACTTCGAAGTTCCGATGGAATCTGAAGCTAGTGAGCTTCCAAAAGGCCTCGTGCTACATGGAGATAGGCATGTACATATAAGGCACATCCCCTCCCCAGGCGAGGTCCCTTGGTTGAATGCATCTGATAAATTTCTCTCTGCATAAGGCATTAGCATCCTCCTCGAAGGTATCTTGAAATGCTTGGTTGGAGAACCAAGGATATCTCCTAAGCACTGAGGCTCCCCACTCTAAATCTGCCTGAGTGCGGCAGTATCTGAAGAAATACATGTAAGAGAAGGTAGAATGATTGGTGAGATAAGCATTGGCCAAAATTCGGGCATGAGCAATACCCTCAGGAAACTCCAGGTTAAACGCCCAAAGCTCGAGGAAATACCATTGTAGCCATAGTTGAATCATCCAAGTGGTCTCATTAAGGTTAGTCTCGAAGGGAATGCCTTGGGTTATTTCATCAAGGAGATGATAAAGATGAGCAAGAAGGAAGGAACCCGTGGCCATGTCATCAAAGTTATAAAGAGCTTCCACCAAAATAATCTACTCGACTTGCACTCATTTGGATTTATTAGGGAAGACGTGTTGGTTAAGCCAGTACAACAGAAAGTACATGTGTTCTTGGTCTCTGATGGCGTTGGAGGAGAAAGGGCCAAATTCCTTCTTGGAAAATAGGATAAAACCCATAAAGGAAGTCCCACAACTCTTGAAAGTAGCAGAGTTGTACTCCAAATGAGTTATGGGACCAGAGGTGCCCGAGCTCTCAGCAATTGGGCGAGAAGAAGGATACCAGTCATGGGTAACGTCCACAACTCTGCCCGAGGGCCTTAGCCCGAAGACCTGGGCCATGTCAAGAATGGTCGGGGACATGAGGCCCATCTTGAAGTCAAAAGTGTTAGTGCTCGAATTCCAGAAAAGGAGATCCGTGGTAAGCTTGAGCTCATTTATCCATTACGTTTATCCTTTGTCCTTTATCAAAGGAAAGTCGCGACGGTAGTTCTACCACTTGGATGTCGAAATGATGGACTTGGCCAAAAATGGGTTCGGGATGAACTAATTCTCCTTGGACATGTTGTTTTCAACGGCAAT